AAAACAAAAAGAAACTGAGCCCTGTGTTTCAGTTTTAGTATTTTTGAAAGCTTTAAAGCTAATGAGTTGACCTATTTTTAAATTACAGAGCATGGAAAAATAATGGGTGTATTCTTTTTCATGCTGAAATGAGCTATTGTTTCTCTGCTCATAATTAAAAACTCAGTTTTTAGAAACTCAGATAGGTCCTAGGCATTGCAAGAAAGTCTGTAAGTGAAACTGCCTGCATGAAATTTCCTTAATACTGAGTTTAGACATGGATTCATTCAGGATCTGTAATCTTGTCTTGTCTTGTGACTGGCATTAGAGGAGTTTGTGCCTGTAAATGGAGCTGGTAACACGTGAGTGGGCTGAAGAGCAGTTGTTGAAGTGAGTGCTACACGCTCCAGAGACACCAGCACTATCTCTGAAACTCCAGATAGGTGCTGCTGCCTGGCCACTGCAGGTTGTGATGCTCTCAAGAACTTACAGTGAAATATAGGACTGAGAAAAGCTATGAGCAAGAGAGGCTCAAAGGGATGACACAACTTGGGGTTTTTAAGGGGGGAAAAAAGGAAAATATTTGGTCAGAACTACTGGAGTATTTAGGGGCTTAACTCCCACTGATTTTCAGTGGGAGGTGTATGTCTGGATGTTTTGTGGGCCTCGTAATTTGTGATGAACTTTGAATGCCTGTGGGTTTGAAATTAATTTAGGATGTTGGGTAGACTCTTAGTGAAACTGGGAAGCTAGGAAATTTGCAGTTGCAGTACCAGCACGGGCCATAATTGTGTTCTGCCATCCTGACCCTTCTGCATGGGTTACAAGCTCTTGTTATCCTTGCAGGCAGCCTGGCTGGCAGCAGCCCAGAGGCCCAGCTCTACCTCATGTGTGTTTTATGGCTGCCAGATGCCAGCACTGTGCATCTTGCTTTCACATCAGAACCACAGATTTCATCTCTGTCCCTCCACCCTGTGCTCCTGGTGCAGCACCCAGATGTGGAGAAGAGATCCCTTTGTACTCTGTGCACATTATCCCTGCAGAGGCCAGGTGTATGAGGATAGATCCTGGTAACCAAGGGCCTGGTGGCATTAGAAACATCTTCTCTCTGGATGTGAATTCCAACCACCTCCATGCCATGGACATCCTTCCAAAATGTGTCTTGAAGAGTTGCCCCAGATCTGCATTCCCTGGATCTGCATTTCACACATCTTGTCAGAGCTCTAATGCTCCCCAGAAGGGAGGGTAATCTGCTTTAGGTATTTATGAGGTGATTTGAGCTGCTGGGGAGGCAGGAGAGCTGGATAGGAGGTTAGTGGCCAGATTAAAGTTATAGCCCTTAAGGTGTCCTTTGGGGCTTTTGTATGGCATTTTCTGTTTCTATTTTACCTAATTCTGCTCTTTGCTAACTTTGTGTATTGAGTTGATTTGCAGCTTTGAGTTCAGCAAGACAGAGAGGCATCTGAATTTACACTGCTCTATAATATCTATTTATTGAAGAATCTCCTATAACTTTCTGATATTGGACCCTGAGGCTTCTTTTCTTTCCTTGCCATGAATGTTTTGTTTATGAAAATTACCTTAGGTTTGTCTCCAGTGGAAGAAAATAACTCTAAAGGAAATCCTATTTGGTGTATTTTTCCAATTCCTTACCTATCTTCCTTTTATGGACAATTTCAAGATAATTAGATGAAAATTACTTTCTTTGAGAAAATAATTTTACTCCTAAATATCAAAGTCATAGCCTGAAACTTGTGAGCATTTTCTTTTGTATGTGATTAAACCCACATCTGTTCATTGGGTAGAACAGGGGAAGAGCCACGCTTTTCTGTCTTGGTTATGTAAGACAACAAAAGACCAAATGTTCTTCTTTGGTTCACTTTCATGGCTGTACTGTAGCACACAGAAATGTCTGGCTGCATCAACAGTGCTGGTTTGGACACTGAGTGTCCTTTGATTACAGGCCCAGCACTTTGCAGACACTCGTATTGGGGGAAAAAGAAAAATATGGTCAAGGACCATGTTAGTACATTATATTGTTCTGTATTAGGTTTGGTTTTGTTTAAAACAAGAAAGCTCAAATCAGAATTATGTGCCAATTCTTTATAAGATCCCACTCATTTGGCAAAGGAATTGCATTAATTACCTCTTGTTTTCTGTACTGTGTCATTTCAGAAGAGAGAGCACATGCTGCACTTGTGAATGAAATAATTCACTCGCATCATTGAAGCCTTTGCTGTATTTTCCCCTTTTCCTTTGAAAATAAGGGTGGTTTGGAGAAGACTTTCCCTGGATGATAAATACACTTTGCAAATGTACAGTGGTGATCAGGAAGAAGCTTGAGTAAAACAGACTTCTAAAATCTAGTAGATCTATCTGATAATAACATAATTTTAAAAGAGTCAAATTACTTTTTAAAAGCTTTTCCCAAAGTTGTATTACCTTAGCCATAGCTTTTCCTGAGTTGCTGTTACAGTAGTTTTCTGTTGCTGTGGACATCTCCTCCCCATGAGATGATTTTAGAAGATGGACAGGTTTCACTTATGGAAGATGCAGTTGCTCACTGGGTTTGGATCCTTTTTAAGACTGTGATCTCTGAGATGTTGCAGGTTCTTCCTTGTGAGACAGCATTTTACTGGAGTGATCTGGAGTTTCCATTAATCACTGACATCCAAGGAAAATCACTCCTGTCAAGAGAATAGAGCATAAAGAATGGTCACAGTACAGCTGTAGGAAAATGCTGCAAGATGGACACTTCTCTTTCAGTAACTCTGAACTAGCCCTTCTACCTCAGGACTATTCATTCCAAAATATAAAGAATTTCAGCTGCCAAAAAAAATTTATATCCTACATGATTAATGAAAGCCTTCCTTCATATTTTGATATTTTCAAAATCTACTTACCAAAAATATCAGGTTAAATGTTATGCCAAAAAATAGCAGGTTTTTTCCATCAATGGGGAAAAAGCAAACTGCTTTAGTTTACAGAAATGGGCTGCAAAACAATATTTCTTTTACTCATTCACATGCTCTGTAACTAAGTTATTCTACTTCTTACATCCTTCTAAAATAGATTGTTACTGTTGATTTGCATTGACGTCCTACAGTTTTATTTTAGAAAAGTTCTCAGCTTGTTAATGTGCTTCAGTGATAGTGACTATATTAGAACCAAGTAATCCTGGTTAGTGACAGAGTGAAATTATGTTAAATTTCTTTCTAAGGGAAAAAGCTAGCACTGTGCTGAAGTCAGATGGATGATAATTTCAACCTAGTAATTTTAAATGCTGCTGTATCTGTAGTAGTGTTTGAGGACTCCTGTAAGCCTGAAGCATTTTATTTTCAAACTGTTTAATTTCACCACTCCAGAAAGTACAGAATTCTCAGACCATTTTTTAGGAGGGGAATTATAGCCCTTTAGAATGTGCTTAGCAAAATGTTCCTGGTTAGGTATGGTTTGCAGAGTGAGTCCTACCTGCCAATATGGAACTGGGATGTACAGGTTTAAATGTTCTGAGAAGAGGTTGTTGTACTGTTAGTGAAGAACTGCATTACCTGAGGTTTGGGTATTTTGATTTTTCAAAGAAACACAGATTTTTTTATTATTTATAAGCAACATTTTAAATTAGTTTTTTTGAGATGAAAGCCCTAGAAGTGTTTTATTAAAGGTCTCACCCCTCCGTAGTTCTTGTCAAATAGTTCCATTGCTTATCTATTTATTTAATTATTTTTTAAATACACAGCACAGTACCCTGTGCAAATATGAAGCATTGATGATGGCAGCAAATCAGCTTCTGTTTTCAGTGAGGATAGAGTGTATACCATGATTCTCTTCACTGGATAAATTCTTTGTGTTTAACATCTCCAGATAGGCAGCAGATCTACCAAATTACTACTACTCATTAAATAGTAAGTAATTATTAAATTGCTAAAACTCTGCATCAGAACTAGCAGCTAGTTGAGGGACTATATAAGCAGTGGCCTATATGGAAATATATTTGGTAATAAGGTAAATGCTTGTCATCATTGTGCCCTGCCAGTGATTTTGGGTCTCTGCATGTTAGGACTGGGAAAGAAGGTGGAAACTTGTTTGGTCAAACAGTACAGCTCAGTTCTCAGGGAATAAAAAAGCCCTTGCAGAGTTGGCTTGGATGAGCTGATAAACAGGGAGCTGTAGCTTGCTGATAACTGAGGGATTTGTAGAGCACATCCAGTCACAGGAACTTTAAAGGGCAGTTGGGCCAAGTCTGCTCACAGTGAACCTTTCTTCTTCATAAGAACAAAAGCTCTATTGTTTATCCCAGGCTGTCATGTATCTTCACCTTTGGGGACTGTGCCTTTTCTAGAAGCACAGATAAAAAACAATGCACCTGCTTCCCATGAGATATGTCCCAGCAGTCATCACTTTTTTGTGGCTGTCTTGGTCCTGAGCATGGCACTGTGTAATACTGTCCAGTGATGCTTTTTTCCCTTGCTTTTTACACTGTCACTCACATATTCCTTAGTGCACATCATCAGGCTAGAAGCCATAAATCACCTCTGTTTCTATTTCTTCTCTAATGCTTCCTAAGATCTCTTGTACTGACTTCTAAAAACAGCTGGAGCTGCAACATCACTCCATTTTAAGCTCTGAATTGTGTTAGCCATTACATTGGTTCCACACGCTGCTTGGGTGGAGACATCAGTTAAAATTCCCAGCACGGCCAGCAATTCCAGCTTTGTGCGAGTGGTGGTGACTTTCTAATTTTTAACTACATCACATTAAAAAAGAGGATTTTTCCCAGAGCAATTTACCAAGAGGGGAAAAATGGAAATACTGTTTGAGGATGACCTTCCACCCCGGTGATCTGGGGGTGGCGTTGGCTGACGTCTGTTATTGCTCAGCTTTCCTGAAGTAGTCGAGTGCTTTGTCACTGCTACTAAACAGAAAACTCCTGAGCTCACTGAATAGTTTGTGAGGGGTTTGGGAAATGGCAAAAGGATTTATGAAAGCAACTGCAGAACAGAGTATTCCTCAAGTTTACTTGAAACAAATCTGGGTCCTTTTTGAGCAGATTAGAATGTGTTGGTTCTAACAATTTCTTCACTCTGAAGGTGCTGTTCCTGACCCCAAGATCCTGAGAAGAGAGAAGGAGAGATAAAAGAAGAATGAAATTACTTTGCAGCGCTCCAGAATGGGAGCAGAAAAAAGTGTTGTTTTGATTGTCTCCAAAAGAGAGGCAGTGCTGTAATTCTGTTTCCTTTTCGTACGCAGAACTTGAAAAGATTTTTCCTAGAAATGTGTAATGGGACTGTCAGAAAACAGACCCCTCCCCTTCCCAGTAGTTTCCTGCTGAAGTCATTTAAGGCCTCTCACAGCTTTCATCTGTGTAGGCACTGAGAGCTCATGGGCCAAGATTTTTTTTTTTTTTCAAAGGGAATACTAGCAAAACTGAGGCACTTTTTAAAAAGTCGTTAGGAACAAAAGTTGGAAGTTTCAGTGCATGTGAAGCTGGCTCTCCCCCTAATCAGTTTCTCATTTCCGTTCTGTTTCCGCCAGCCCCACTGAAGTGGCTGTAGGTGTTTTTCTTGTTTTAGGTATTGCTAAAAGCACGTATGAGAGCTGCCCAAAGGGGCGGAGGGGGAAGTTGTTCCTTACTTCACTTCTGGGACTGTCTGTTCAGGGCTTTACACAGGAGGTGACTTGGAAAGGCTTGTGAATTCCATTTACTGTGCCCTCAGACCTGATGATCACAGTAGGCTGAGCACACAGGACCTGCTCTGCAGGCAACAGCCCTTATGCAGTAGCTATTTAGGGAAAAAAAAATCCCTTTGTGGAACTGGCAGATAGCCTGCATTTGCAAAGATGGGAATTTTTGTTGGTTATATATACAGTGTTTAACACAATGATCAAGGCAATGTGCTCTTAGAAGAAAACATTACTACTCTGAATAAATGGATGCTACTCAGCATGCATTTTCTGGTTGGACTGAATTCAAGCCTCCCATTCTGAAATGGATAGCTTTTTTGGATCGCATTCACTTGTCTCTCAGACAAATCTGTAGTGTGGATTTGTTCCTCAGATGAATGATACACATTTCATCCGGTTTCTTTCAAGCTGAACTCTGCCTGGCACAAGAACGATAAATGTTTTTTTCTTTCTCCTTCTGTTTAGAAGACCATGTTGTATTGTGAAAGATGAACTTCATTCCCAAGAGAGATGAAGTGCATTCAGAGGTGGATTTTCTGGTACATGTTTGTAATGCTACAGCAGTGCCACAGGCACCTCATCAGACAGACACACACTAGGGTAGCCTTGAGCCTCAGTCATACTGCACATATCAGCTCTCCTGTAAAGCTTTAATTGGAAGTTATGTGTCCTTAAAGCCTGGAGGAGTCTTCTCTCTAGGGATTGAATTCCCCTATCTTGTTTTACTATTACTCTTTGGAGGTAGTAGAGTATACAAGTATAATATACAAGTATTTCAGCCTTGGAGCATGAAAATCTTCCTGATGTTAGCTGACTATTATAAATTACACATGCATTGAAGAGAAGAAAATGCTAGTATTTAAGTAGGGCACCAGCATGCTGTTAATGCAATCCACTGCATTCATATGACATTTAAAGTGAGTATTTGCATTTGCTATGAAACTGTGCATACCTAATGTGTAATTTTTGGGGCTTTCCTTGATCCAGTGGATAAAGAAAGTCTGTGAGTTGAGTACAATCTAAAGAACAAATTTACTGCTTTGAATTAAATTCCTGATGAGGTCCCAGGATCATATTTGGGACTGCTGAACTAATCAGTACACTTGGAGAAAAACTAAAGTTCACTCCCAGCATCTGACCCCTATCCTGCAGTGCTAGCAAGCCCTGAGCATTACCTGTCTCAATCATCTCCCCACAACCCATCTGTCCATGGGTGATGAGACCATAAGTTTGAGGCCAGCTAGACAAAATGTTCTCTGGCCTTTTTGATAAGGGCTGATGAGGCCTGAAGTGAGAACATGGCACTTTTAGATATTCTGGATTCAGGTTGTCTGCAAGGGCCACCTGGAAAGGAGAAATTAGGTTGTGGCTCAAGACCTGTTTCTAGGAGTGGCCTTCTCAGGTACAATTCAAGCAAACCTGTTTAATTTGTTATGGTTCTGTTTGTCCTGAAAGCTTATCCAGCCCATCCCAAGGCTTTAGATCTTTACCTGCTTGCTAAGGTATTCTTGTTTGTCTGTCTTATTACTGGAGTTATTCTTGTTGCTTAATTACAGTGTTGGCAAAAGTTCTTGTCATACTGAAAACAAGATTTGAACTGAATCCAAAGACTGTGAAGTTGGTGCAGCTGTATGATGGGGAGGAACTGCCAATGTTTTCTAAGATTTGAAAATATTAACCATATATTCAAGGAAATGGCATCTGAAATGTCCTTATTTCAGGTGATAACTGATAATTTTAAACAAGTGCAGCTTTTGATTTTTATTACAACTTCTGTTGAGAGGCTTAGACTAGCCAACACTAGCCAACTAGTAATGGTAATTGGAGATGCCTGGTCTACTTTACAGTGATATGTACATACTCTGCTAAAGATTGATAATAGGAAAGTTGTCACTCAGAAGCCATTCTGCCAAAATGTCTGTCTGCTGTTTGGCCCCTTGTGTAACCAATGGTGCCAGTCACCACAAGTCACTGGGGGTGACCTAATGACCAGTCACCACTAGTCACCACCTAGTCTCAGGGCAGCAGCAGCAGCATTTTTATACAGAATTCCTTTCTGTGAAAGCCCTTCTAAGAATCAGCAGAACAGCTGGCTCAGTAACTGAGGCACACAATGCACAGGGGCAACAAAAAAATATACAAGCAATGTAAGCCTGCCTTGTGAAGAATAGAACAGTCAGAGCTCCTGGCAGAAGGTGCTGAGAGTGTGAGTGGCTGCCTAGGTTAGGGGAGGATGGGGTGTGTTCAGTGAGGGGGACAGTGTTTGTTTAGGTTTTTCCTCCTGGGACTACTTTAGTATGTCAAGCACGTTTGGGAACTTTCTTTTCCCCCAGTGGTCTGAGATGTGAACTGGACAGTGTGTACGGATCTGAGAGAATAAGACTTAGCAATGCTTCAGAAAAAGCAGTTGCATATCCTATAATGACAGCTTTGTTCCTGGGTGCCTGTGTAGACTCAGTTTTTGTTTGCTGACTTTTCTTTCAGCTCAAAATACACAAGAAGATGTCTGTTGGGGCTGAAAAACCCTGAAGATAGACAAAACTGTAGAGTAAAATGGAGCTGAAGCCAGCCTTGTCTGGGGAGTCCCTATGTGTGCTGTATCAGAGGGAACAGCTGGGGTCTGCTACTGACACCATTATGAAACTCACATTGCTTTCCACCTGACTGTTTGCTTAGTGTGTATGCCCTGTCCAGCAAAATGCAGAGCTGATGCTTGTCTCCTTTTTACTCAGTGTCTGTGGGAAGGTCATTTAGAGCAGCATTTGCCTGAGTCACTTTGTCACAAGCCCATTCAAAAGGCATTTGCTCCAAGATGAAGAGTAGACACAAAGGGACATACTTGTACAAGTTGCTATTCAGAGATCTTGAAACATAAAGACACATAGCTTTGAAGGAAAAGGCCAAGACCCTGAAAATAACTGGCCAGGGTAATGGAAATTGTTAAAAGAATGATTGGGAGCAGCCACAGCCATTTCCAAAATCATTACATTCATCAAGCTGAAAAATGAGCCTGGTGATAGCAGTACATCCAGATGGCCAAGGACTCCAAGGAATATTGGTAATCCACCCATTAGCCTGGTTGGAATCTTGTCCACACACCAGCTCAGGGGACACTCCAGAGGGGCCCCCAACATCCCAGGCACGGGGACCCAGACTCCCCAGCCAGTCACTGAGGAAGCTGCAGGGAGCTCTGTGTGCAAACCTGGCATGGTGATGTTAACTTGCCTTGTCCAGAGCCTGCATTCCAGTGCCTGTGTGTGCTGCCAGTGTGGCTGGGTGTGTGCCAGCAATTAGGGACCCCAGGAGGTCTCTGGAAACTGATGTACAGCCTTGTGCAGCTCTCCTGCAACACAACTTTTCCCAGCAGAGTATGATGGCTGTAACGTGGGAGGGAGCTTTGCTCTATGCATGCTAAGCAAAGTGCCCTAACTAACATAATTAGATTAAACTAAGAGGAATTGGGCCTAATCTCGTCTCTGTCTTAGATTCTGCCACTCCTTTTCAGACCCAGAGAAAGGACTTGGAGTCCAAAAGCCTGCCTGTTCTTTCCAATTATATTAACTGGCCTAAAAAAAGATTTTTTTTTAATGTTCTTTTTCTACAAACTCTGTTTCACTCTTGCTATGATACAATTGTTAGTTCCATCCTGGAATGATTGGCATGTATGCAAATTGGAATAAAAGGATCTGATCTGAACTGTTAACTAAGTTTAAAAAAACAAATAAAAAAGCTATGCATTAGTGTAAGAAAGCTGTCATTAAAGGGGCAGTGTTTTTTAATACAATTAAAGGTCAAATATTATGGTTACCACAATATTAAGTCATTCTCCCCACAATTCACCTGTCCTTTTAATTAGGACAAAACTTTCTCCATAAAGCATCTACTTTATTTTTAGATGAAACTGTGGCTATTTAATGTTTCATTTCAAAAACTACTAGCAAGGTGGAGAAAACAGATAGTGGCATTACAACAAAACCCACTCTGTGGTTTATTTTGTTTGTAATCTTTTCTATGATACTTATACTACGTTACGATTTTTTTTTACACTGACCAGCATCCTCATATAAAACTGCAAAGACTTGATGTGGTAACAGTGAACACTAGAATAATTGAAACTATCCTAGATGTCCCCTTGCAATACATCAGCACTATGAAGAGAGGTGTGTGTCACCTGCATTAGCAAAGTAAAGGTGCCAGGGACAGGGACATCCTCTCTCTTTTCCTATTTAAGTAAATATTTAAAAGACCAAAAAAACCTCCTCTCCAGTATGGAACTGAAATATGCTACAGAATGATTCACATCAAATAAATAAATGCTTTTCAGTTGCAATCATTCCCTATTGAGTTGAAGTGGTATTATGCTGTTTTAATCTCATCAGTTCCAGAAAGCATGCACAAATGAAAAGAAGTGATTTTAACACTGTAGGAGGGGGAATAGCAGCTTGTGCGGAGCATCCAGCCAAAGGAAGAGGAATAATTTTACAATGACTGACCTCAATTCTATGCCAGTTTACAAATTCCACTACAATTAATTTCATTATAATTTCTCCACTTCATTCCTGAAAAATTAACCCTGCATGGTAACCCATCACTCTTTAACCTATCCACAGTTTCCACACTTTTTGCCACAGAAGAATTTAAAACACTTATAACCCTTTCCCAGTTCCACCTGATTGCCACTCCTTCACAGGGAAATGCCACCTTCACAGGGAAATTCAACTTCTGCTGCCATCTGCAACAACAATCAGCCTTTAGAGGGTATCAACAAACATAGGCAACAACCTTTTGAAATGGTCCTTTTGGGCTCAAACGCACACCCAGGAACATTCCCTGCCTAATGCTGAAACACAACCACCTCTTTGGTGAGCAGCATAAGTAATATGACAGCTTGTAGCAACACTAAATAATCATCTACTTAGCCTAGAGCAAAAATTGAAGCAGTGGGAATGTATAACATTTGAATCAGCATTTGTTGGGGAAATATTTCTCTTGTGACACAGAAACCTTATTGACTGCAAACATCCAGAAATTTCATCATGCAGTACCTAAAGCCGGCAAATTCAGCAAAAATTACTACAGTACTCTTGTATCTTGTTGATAGTACCTGTGCACTTTTGGAAAAATTTCTTCTTACAAACACCAGCCTTCTTTGGGAAATTTTTTCATTTGTACAACAGGAAGCTCCAGTCCTGCAAAATGATAATATTCTGATGAGAGTACAGCCAGAGACAGTGCAATCAATAGTCATGACACTAATTTGTCATGTACAGCTAAATGTTCTGCTTGAACGAATCCCTCCCTCTCTAGACTCAGCTCTGTACTGCAAACACTGGGTTTGAGGACTGAATTTGTTCTTTCTTTTAATACTTCAATACTCCTAGAGAGCTGATGCTCCTCTTCATGTGGAATAGCATCTAATTTCCCAAGGTATCTATTGGTTTGAACAGGATTATTTGGTATTAGACATACCATGGAGAGGTTACAGATAGCATTGGTTTGTCTATGCTGAAAAACAGTTCTGCCAAGGACCTTGCTCATTAAAGAGCAGGGAAAAGCAAATCTTGGTAACACCTGAGTGCATTTAAGTTAGTATGCTTTAATAAGTGTGCTTAAACAACAGCAAAAAATATGCAGGTGATTTTCCTATGCTATTGGTAATAACACAAAGGTGTATTTCTAGCTTCATTTAAAATTCAGTTTTTCATTAGTCTTGGAATGTCCTTAATACAGAAAAACAAACAAAAAGAAATCTCTATTTTCCCAGTGGTGCTCATTACAGATGCAGACTTGTCAAATTGCCACTACACTGCAGAAAGGTACACAAATCAAAAGCCTTCATACACTGGAAATTTTAACAATTTGGCAAGCAGAATATACAATTCATATACTTAAGAACAGAGAGTAGGCACCAAAAGAATGGAAATATCTCGTTGGTTTGAGGGCTTGTTATTACAAGAACATTGTCTTTAAATATTATTCATAGATACTGCCAGGTTATCTGAATTCAGTCCTACCACAATGGCTGCCTTCTTCTTGGAAAAAATACATGCTAAGCCATTGCAATTAACTAAAAAAAATTGTTGTTAATTTGAAAACTGCACAGAACTAATTGCAATTGTAAAATTTCAGTCCAACTGTTTAATTCTGTAATAAAAATGTATATAAAATTAGCAGTGTTGAAAAGTCTTACCAGGTCCATTTTGATAGCAGCCAACTGCTCACTAGTAAATATGCTCCACTTTTCTACTAGGAAGCAGCAGATGAATTCTTGCAATTCTCTTTGTAACTCTGATCCAAGTCCTTCTGAAGCCAGTGGAATGATTTATATTAAAACAGCTTATTAGATCTGCATTTTACGTGTTTGTCTCACTAAGATGAGTGCTTATTTCATCTTGATATTTCAGAGCTTCCAAACTCAACTCTACAGTTTGTCAAGAGCTGTTTTTTCTCTTGAAACTGAGATAGCATATTAAAAAGAGCACTATTGGATAGCAACAGACATTTGTTACTGGTCCATGGCAAGATACCAAATTGTATCAATGCTAAGAATATAATTTCAATAAATTTTGAGAGAAAAAGTCATACTGACCTCACAAAATGTCCTTAGGTGACACCCATAATGAAGAAGTCACTTTTGATAGGCAGTTCTTGCTCTTGCAGGTGTACTCTCATAAGGCTGGGAAAGTCTTTATTTTTGGGGGTTTCCATGGTAATGCTGGCAGTCCTAAATGGAAACAAAAATATTTAAAAGGAGATGTTAAAAAAAAGCATTATTCCAATGTGACTGAAGTTTGTATTTTTCTAAGAGTAGGAAGCAGAAATGTTGTATATGAGTTTAAAAATTCTATATAAATTAAATCCCAATACAAATTTCAGACATTTTTACAAACTCTTTTGGGTTTGGCATCCCAAAAGACTCTTTAGAGGCAGCCTTTTAAGAATCTGCAGAAACAAAGTAACTCTTTTCATGTTTTTCTGAACCAGGCAGCCATTTTCTACAACCTGAATTTCCATACACTCAAAATAATCTTTGCAAGGGTGCAAATGCTTGCTCCAAAACTACAGAACACAGAAGTCCAAAGCAGATTTCATTGATTTTTAGAAATAGCCTTTAGGCACTTGGAATGATTCAAGTGAAACTTAGGCTGCCATCTTAAAAAGAAGCCTGCAGCACTGGAGAGATTTTTAGATTTACTTTTTGCTGCTGACAGTGAAACCTTGTGAGTGCCAGGGCAGAGCTCAGCGAGTGCTCCCTGCCATGCCCTCCATCCTCCAGCCCCTGGGAGGGTCCAGCAGGAAGGCTCTGGAGCTGGGAGAGCTCTGCCCTGTCCCCTCCAGAGAAGAGCTGGGGTGATGATGCTGCGGGAGGAAGGCTCTGGAGCTGGGAGAGCTCTGCACTGTCCCCTCCAGAGAAGAGCTGGAGTGATGATGCTGCAGGAGGAAGGCTCTGGAGCTGGGAGAGCTCTGCCCTGTCCCCTCCAGAGAAGAGCTGGGGTGATGATGCTGCAGGAGGAAGGCTCTGGAGCTGGGAGCAGCTCTGCCCTGTCCCCTCCAGAGAAGAGCTGGGGTGATGATGCTGCAGGAGGAAGGCTCTGGAGCTGGGAGAGCTCTGCACTGTCCCCTCCAGGGAAGAGCTGGAGTGATGATGCTGCAGGAGGAAGGCTCTGGAGCTGGGAGCAGCTCTGCACTGTCCCCTCCAGGGAAGAGCTGCAGTGATGATGCTGCAGGAGGAAGGCTCTGGAGCTGGGAGAGCTCTGCACTCTCCCATCCAGAGGAGAGCTGGAGTGATGATGCTGCAGGAGGAAGGCTCTGGAGCTGGGAGAGCTCTGCACTCTCCCATCCAGAGGAGAGCTGGAGTGATGATGCTGCAGGAGGAAGGCTCTGGAGCTGGGAGAGCTCTGCACTGTCCCCTCCAGAGAAGAGGGGGAGTGCAGTCGTGGGAGGGCAGTCCTGGCATGGCCTCAGCAAGGCTCTGGAGGTGACACAAGTCCCCAAAGACCTCAGGAGGGACCAGGGAAGCCTCCTCCTCTCTGCTGTCCCAGCAGGCTGGGAAGGAACATGTCGTGTGAGCCTTTGCCTGTGTTCCCTTTGCCTGGAAGGCTCACACTCAGCTGGCCCAGCACTCAGGCAGTGCAGGGACCTGCTGGCACTGCTATTTATACACCCTGCTTGAAAGAGAACACTTGAAAGTGCCTCTGTTATAAGGTCTTACTTGTAAAAAAAACCCAAGCAATTCCACATCTGTGAAACCTTCCAAAAATTGCTTTCCTCAGTGTAGAAGCCGGATACATATTTATTGAATTAGGCTCTTGATTAGGTAGGACACAAAGGGCTTTCTCCCCCTGCAATACTTCCTGCCCAACAACACAGTTCCCCCTGCTAACCCTGGGAACATTTCATGGGGGACATTTTTTTGGTGTTATTATTGTTTAATTCCACTATAGAAATCAGCATCTGAGCCCTTTTCTTCCCCCTTCCCTCAGCCCCATTTTAATTTCAGGGTTTTTTCAGGCCAAACTTCTTCCCATTTACTTGGTCTGGTCTTTTCATTAAAATAAGTTCTTCCAATGACCCCCAATCATTTGCCCTTCCTGTCCATTCTTGGTTATGCCAAAATTGTTAGTTCACAACAGGAAACCAATAGCTTGTGCTATCAGGAGACATTTCCTTCACGGCACAAAATGTCTGAATAATAATTTCAAGAAAGGCTTCACCCATTTCCTGTGAGTGGAGGGAAGTTTGCCTATCCCAGTCCCTCAGAGCTCTTTGTTTCCATCCCTTCATGATGTAATGCTTTCTGCATAGGGGGGATGGATCATTTTCCCTTACCAGCACTGAATTCAATGTCCTGTGTAAAGTTTTGATACAGCTCTTCAGCAATAAAACATGTAACATTCACAAATAATAAAAAGTTAAGCTCTAGTTTATACTTGTGGAGTCTCTTTCAAAAAACAAACTCAGCTTTTGGTGCCTGGAAAATAGCTATAATGAAAACACAGAGGCTAAATACAGTCTAGTTTATAAAATGTGTTACCTGCAGGATATTTAGCACTACAATTCTACTACTGAATGTCCTCTCAGCAGGTAGGAGAGCCCATCTGGGATAATTTACAGAAATAATGCAGATAGATAAACCTAATAATCAATTAAGGACTGCTTAGTTTCATCCCTATATAGCAAAACAGGCATTGACCAAATAGTGAAGAGTTACTGACTTTTTAAAGTGATATGATACATTAAAACCTTATTATAAGGACAATGCTAAATTGCAAAAAGGGGAATATCAAGCAATACATGTTAGCTCTTCAGTACTGAAATATTTAGGATGCATATTTTTGAGCAACAAGTGTGTCAAGCTATTCTATATCTAAAAATGTAGGCATAGAAAATGTTATATGGGAGCCACTTTTTCCCATTGAGCCCTACTGTGGTGCTTCTAAACTTATTTTTGTTAAATTATGCAAATGGGAATCAGAATATATATTTTATTTCATTTTCTACTTTTCTTTTCTTAAGCAAACTTTATAAGGGCTTGCAATTTTGATTTTTTGTTACATCATATGATTTTTTTCCCCACTGTTGGGGGAAGCAAGAAAGCTTAAAAGGAGAATTTGTCAAAGATTTTGAGAACCTTAAAAATAGCTCTTGTCACACTTGTTTTTATAGTGCAGTCTTAATTACAGCATTTTCTGTCACACGAAAACCATAATAAATCTCCCCATTATTCTGAAGACAATAAAATTTTTATTACATTTGTATCCTTTCTGTAATTTGAAATGTTCAAGTCAACATGAAATTCTACATCTCTTACTCTAATTCACTTGTTCCCATCATAAGACTGAGCTAAGTCCCTGTTTTCACCCCTCCCTTAACCAGCACTGCCTGCAGGTCCTGCTGCCTGTCTCCTCAGCTGGGATGCTTCCTCCTCACAGATCCTGGTCATGTTTGTCTTAGGTAAATAAACTGATTTAACACCTCTGCACAAGGAGCTGTGTTTAAGAGCAGCAGCTTTGTGTTTCGACATCTCTTGCTTGAAAAGCTGGAATGCAATTTTCTTGCTGCAGATTGGCAGAACCTTTGCATTTTTTATTTTCCAGTCCATTTCCAAAAGTGCATTTGTCTGTTATGGACCCTGGCAGGAGATTTCACCCACCCTCACCACCTTCACTTTCCCCATCAGTAACTCTAAGATGTGAGACAATGTCATTCTCTTTGTATTTGTTTCAGAGGAACTATAAAGATGAATTCTGTTTCATTTCACTTTGGGGCTGAGGAAAGTGTTTCCCTCTCAATGTCTTGGACAGATCAGAAAAATGTTTCTGAAGGAAAAAAAAATCTGTAAGATATTATTCAGTTTTTTATCCAATTGTTCAACCTTAAACATGGACATCTTGTTGAAAACCCCCTTTGAGGGTGATACCTCAAGACTATTGCTGCATTTTGCTCTTCTTTCTTTCCCTTCCCAATTTTGAATCCCTTTCATCTGTCCATTAAAGTATGACAAAGTTACATTTAATGGTGCACTAAAACCTCAAGTGATTGTTCATTCAGCAGTTTGTAAGGCCAGATCTGGAAACCCTTTCTTTGTTCTGGCCATCTGCCTCCAAAGCAGAATTGCAGGTGAGCTGGGGAAAAAGAATGCAAACACCAATGCCCAAAGACACCAGCTCCTGACTATATCTAGCTGTGCCTAGTGGCAAGAAAAGCTAATGGCAGTGTTATTCTATTAACTATTAGAAAATACCAATGCCAAGGTATAACTAATATATAAAACAACAAATAATCAGGCCAATCATGAGAGAAAGCTTCCTGTTAATCCCATGTTTTAATATTACAAAAAGATCTTTTATAGCAACTGTGGGAACACAATGTCCTTTTTAGCTTGTAAAACTCCATTTGCAAAGCACTCTGAAAAGGTCTGTGGGTAATACCACAAACTGTCAAGAAGTTACATCTTTCTTCCTATTATTAACTTGTATAATACTGTATATACTCAAGTAAACTTCACTAAAAATCCGACAGGAATGGGGGTTTGTGCAGGGTTTTGCTGTGGAATAGATGACAGAACTCTGTACATCCATCAAAACACATGAGAAAATGAATGCTTAATCCTAATTGTCTAGTTGGTGAGCTTGGAAAAACTAGGAAACTTGATGAAGGCTGCACAGAGAAAGAAGCAGCTCACAGTCTGTGAGCCATTCCAGGGGCTGCAACTGCCCATGCGCTGGCACATCACACATTTTGGGACACATCACGCAGAGCTAATGTGCAGAAGGTTCTAGAATTCCCTATCAAAATGGTCAGAGGTGTCTGGTTCCCTCCCTGCAGCTGCAGCGATGCTGCCTGA